CCTCAGACAAGCACTACAGATATATTTATAGGAACACCACAACTAAGAGAGCATGATGTCAGAGAGCATCACACATTAAAGGTATGCAACCCCTAGTGTACACCACACCAAATCTATGAGCACCGTAACCAAGTATCCACAGAAGTCTACCGTGTGGGAAAGTCAAGACTGAAATTAAGATCTCAGGATGGTTCAATCTCTTATCATAAAAGAAAGGAGTAGACCAGTGTGAAAGTACTTTCTAATTTTCCCAGTCCAACATGGCTGAGATTCCACTTCTTTTTTTCAATCCTGGGCTACAATCTTCCTATCTGAAGAATCTTCTAGAAGTAAGAGTAATTTGGGATTTTTGCTTTTCCTGATCTTCCCATCCAGAGACAGATCTAAGCTACACACTCTTTAAAGCACAAAGATGCTCCCCAAAGTCCACTTCACATAGAATTGGTGAATTATGGGATAATTTTGTTGCTGAAGCTGAGTAAAGAAAGCAATTAGGCTTTTATTATATTTTCCTTGATGAAAGAAAAGCAAGAAGAAGAAAAAGAGAAAAAAGATGGATAGAGGAAAACACAATTCTTTGCCACCAACTGGGTGTTCTTGAACATAAAATTGTCTGTTACCTGAGTCCTTGTGATCTGTCTGGAAGGCTGACCAGGCTCCTGCTATCTCTTTCAATCCTGTCCCCATAGCACTTGCTCCCACTATGCCCCTTTTCACTTCCCACTTCTGAATATTGCTGTGAAGCACCAGGTCTTGACTGAATCTCTCAAGCCCCTTCGGTTCTAAAGTCTGTTCTAGTTTCTCCTGAACAGTGTCCCTTGGACTCTGCCTTCTTTTGCTCTGTTCTAAGCTGCTCCTTCCCACCTCATTTATTTATTTTTATAGTCCAGGCCTATAGTCTCTCTCACCTCATCTGTTCCTTACCACTATTAATCTTCCTTCAAGTTCTTTAGCTGTGTAGGTTATGTAAAAAGCTACACCACATTCTTCCTTGACTACATCTTTGGGTCTCAGTGAATTGCCTTCACTCTAGCTAGAGATGAGGAGAAGTGTATGCTACAGTGACCTTAGGACCAATATGGCATCTTATATGGGTCTGGATTTTGGTATTGATTTTGGTACTCCTCCATGATGAATATTTATTAATTCATTTAAACACTCACATATGTGCTCTATACCAGACACTTTCTAGGGGCTAGAAGTGCAAAGATAGATCAGTGACTGCCTAACATAAAAATGTCTCATTGTCTCTGGGAGATAAACACCTGAACAAGCATATATATGGTAATGTGGTAGTGATGTGACTGAAACAGAAGAAGAATTAATAGGGCACTGAAAAGCCTTCTTAGGCTGGGAGGCTGAACAAGACTGCTTGGAGAGGGAGCACTGACCTAGGAGAAGGATCACTGGAACCCATGAGAGATTGGGTAAGAAAGGAGCAGTTGCTCCAGCTAGGGGAAGACAAATCATTTGAAGTTGTGTGTGAATGCTGAGGGAGACAGGGACACTCAGAGAAGCATGTAGAATGGTCACAGAGAACTTCACGGGTCATATTAGAAAAATTTATCCTCTAAGTGCAGAGGAACTATTTAAATATTTCAAAAGTGGAAGTGCCTGGTCTCAGATGTATTCTTTCCAAATTCCTTTAGCAGATTGGATCTCAGTGAGACTAGTTGTGATATTGCTTCGAGGGAAAGTGGCTGAAGGGGAGATATTAAGGAAAGTTTAGGGAGTGAAAGCAATGGACTTATTGGATTGCACTATTGAACAGAGGAAGAAGAGAAGAAAAAGAAACCGAGACAGAGTCATGAGGAGGTATGTGTGTGTGTGGGGGGAATAGATGGGGTAAAATTAGGTCATCTAGTTTGGGAATGTTGAGTGCGAGACCAGGGGACTTTGGAGTCAATTGACAGTTAATTGTGTAAATGTGTATTAGGAAGGATGAGGGGAAAGTATGACAGGAAATGGAAATTTTCAATTCATTAGAAAGGACTTTCTAATACCTAACTTAATTCTGGTACCATAAAATTTCATTGATAAACATTGATTAGAGCAAGGTTCTAGGAATTATTGATTTCTGCTAGACAAACCTGCTATCTTTATTTTTTTTGAATTTTCTCTCATTGAATCACTGTGAGATATAGTTACAAAGCTTTCATGGTTGAGTTTCAGTCATACAATGATCGAACACCCATGCCTTCACCAGTGTGCATTTTCTACCACCAATGTTCCCAGTATCCCTCCTGCCATCCGCACCCCAACTCACCCCCCTGCCTCTGTGGTAGACACTTTCCTTCTTACTCTCTCTCTACTTTTGGGCATTATGGTTTGTAATACAGATACTGAGAGGCCATCATGTTTGGTCCTTAGTCTACTTTTAGCACACACTTCCCATCCCGAGTGATCCCTCCAACTATCATTTACTTAGTAGTCCCTTCTCCATCCTAACTACCTTTCCCCCCAGCACATGAGGCAAGCTTGATATCTTTCAACAGACAAAAGGGATTGCTATCTATTTAATCACTCCTCCCACCTCCCCCAACTCCCCATTTGTTTTGGTATCACATCTGGTGGTGCTCAGGATTTACGCCTGGCTCTTCCCAGAAATCAATTCTGGTTGTGCTCAGGAGACTGTTTGGAATTAAACCTGGATTGGCCACATGTAGTGCAAACACCCACTGCACTATCTCTCCAGCCTCTCTCTCTCAGTCTCTCTCTCTCTGTCTCTCTCTCTCTGTCTCTCTCTCTCTCTGTCTCTGTCTCTCTCTCTCTCTGTCTCTCTCTCTCTCTCTCTCTTTTAGGCTTTGTCTTCCAGGAAGCCTGGTGGCATGAAGATCAACCACATGAATACTCCATTCCAGCGGTTGGCTTACAATCTCCTCCTCTGCAGATGTGGTATCTGATTTCTTCTATACTTTAGTTTATATTTATATATTAAATGTTCAATATAAGCTTACTGTGCAAATAAATCCTGAAAATGGTGATTTCATTCATGCATTGTCATACTTAAATTGTTGTAACTTGGTTTTGGCATGTAGTTTAGACCATATGTAGAAATGTTGCTATAGTTAAACTGCAAATGATACAGTCATTATGTAAATATGGTCTTATTTCAAACCACTGAAAAATCCTCCCTGAACACAGGGAAAGTAGAACTTACTGAAAATATAAAGAGGCTTAACCTTTTTGAGTCTCAGGTTCCCCATCTGTGAAATGGTGATAATACTTCCCACTTGCCTGACTCAGGAGATAATGTACATGAAAGGAATTTGAAAGGGGTAAAACTTCCCACAAAGTGAAATTAATGGAAAAGTAGGACTTTTTCTTTCCCCAGTATAAAAGTACAATTCCTTGGTTGACTTACTAAAAATGGATGTGGTGGTGCGTAGGCTCATGACTTTTGACCAATTTTATCCTGGGGGGGGGGGTCCCCAGCTTATCAGATGATGGTTTTGATCTGCTTTTAGATCAGGAAGACTATTTATATTTATAGTCTCCAAGGTATTTGGAATGGAATGAAAGTGTGGTCCTGTATTGGTTATTCAGAGAAACAGAACAAGTAGGATGAATACATGTAGATAGAGCTCTTGTCTCTTTTGTTCTCTCTCTGTCTCTGGAAATATTTAAGTATGCAAATATATATCAATGTGTAGCAAAAGATTTAATACATGGGATTGACTTCCCTGATTATGGGATATTACTTTTCTGAGAAGTTCCAGATTCTCCTGTTTGTAGTCTTGAGGTCAGGGAAGCTGGTTGTGTAGTTTCAATACAATTCTGAAGTCCCAAGAACAAGAGCACCTATGTTCCAGGGTCATAGAAGATAAATTTACAGCTCAAGCTTAGAGCAAATTTTCCCTTCTTCACTTTGTTTACTTAGACCTTTAATGGCTTGGAAAAGTCTACCTCTTTGGCAAGGGCAATCTCTTTTATTCAATATGTTGGACTCTTTTAGAGATACCCTTATAGACACACCCCAAAAAACCTGCATTAGCAGCTCTCTGGCCATCTTCTGGCCCAGTCAAGTTGACAAAAATAAACCACAGGGAGCAGGTGAGTAAGAGATTACCAACTGTTCTTGATACGTCAGGTGATAGATTCTCATGGGGAGTTCCCACAGCTTTTGTGAAAATCTTCTGAGCCTGGAAATGCCTAGGGTGTATGATGAATGATGGAGAAACAGTGCTCATGTTGATGAAGAGCAGTGGCTCACCTGTAGACCTCCTGTCTGACCATGAGGTCTGCAGGTTATCCAGAGAAAAGGGATGATGGATGGGCCTGATGCTCCTTCCCTGTGTGGGCTGCTGGGTAGACTATCACTCAAAGTCCCTGATAGAATACTTCCTCTGTACAGGACTGCTGAAAGAGGGGTTATAAATGAATTTCTAGAAACCATTTTTCTAATTATATTTTTGAGTTTGGGACATGGCTATCCATGGGAGGAGCCTGTTTCTATAGGAAGTAATAGAGAAATAAAGTTAGAGGAGGGTTGTGGGAGCTTTCAGAAATGACAGTGGGTGAAACCATAACTGTCTTTCCCCATATTCACTCACTTATTCATTCAGCAGGTACATTCTCATTCTCACTGTAGCATGTAAGACATGGAGTACAAGGTGTTCTCTAGACAGAATCTGTTACACTTTATTATGCATATCAACAAGGGGCAGCAGGAGTGCTCACTGATTACCCCAGAGGTACTGACATTTTATAGTTTTTGTTTTTGCTTTTTGGGGCACACAAGGAGATGCACAGCATTTACTCCTGACTCTGCACTCAGAAATTACTCCTGGCGGTGCTCAGGGGACCATATGGGATTCTGGGAATCAAACCCAGGTCGGCCACATGCAAGGCAAACGCCCTACCTGCTGTGCTATCGCTCCAGCCCTGAGGTTTTATAGTTTTGATTTGTTTCTTGAATGTATGTCCTATCCTACTGCTTTACCTTAAGTCTACACATTGGAGGGCAGGGAAAGCATTTTGACACATTTTTTTTTAAAGTTTCAGATGCATTGTTTCTCTCTCAATCTTCAAAGGAAAGAGAAGAACAATGATAAATGGTAAAAGACCGTTGCAAAAGAAACACCTTCAACAGGTTTCACACTCAGGAAAGGATGCTCTGACTCCTCCTACAGGTTTTGATGCTCTACAGGATCAAAGAAGCTTCTCTAGTAATGAACTATAGAAATGATCCTAGAAAGTATAGGCTTCTTGGCACATTTGTGCACCTGGTGAAGCACTTTTATTTCACAATGCCATTAAATATTTCTGCATCTGAGACAATATCTCAGAAAATACCTGAGGAAAGTGATAAGGATGAACATAATCCAACACTTCTGTTATTGGTTGGATCTTGAGGCCTACAGTTTCCACTGTGGAGCTTGTTTTTTCTCTTTGACTTGAACATCTGAGTAGCAGAATTTTTGTTTATTTATTTATTTATTTTTCTTTGTAGGATTTTTTTTTAATTTTTTTAATAAATTTATTTTTTTTATTAGTGAAATACCATGAGGTGCAGTTGTAGACTTACAAATTTTTGTGCTTGGGTTTCCTTAGAATTTTTTTTCCCTTTATTTTATTTTATTTTTTTTAAAGTTGTAGATTTACAATTTTTTGTGCTTTGGTTTCAATTATACAATGATCAGATACCCATCCCTCCACCAGTGCCCATTTTCCACCACCATGGATAATATCCCTCCCACCCCCATCCCCCCAACCCCCCTGTCTCTGTGGCAGGGAAATCCCCTGTGTTCTCTCTCTCCTTTTGGCTGTTGTGGTCTGCAAAAGAGGCATTGAGTGGCAAACATGTTCAGTCCATAGTCTACTTTCGACATGCATCTCCCCTCCTGGGAGGATCCTCCAAACATCCTTTATTTGGTGCTCCCTTCTCTATCTGAACAGCCCTTTCCTCTAGGATACCCGGCTGGCCTCTAAGTTATGGAGTAATCCTCCTGGTGCTGATCTCAGCTATTCTTGGGTATTAATCTCATACTTTGTTACTTTATATCCCCCAGATGAATGCAATCTTTCTATGTCTATCCCTCTCTTTCTGACTCATTTCGCTTAGCATGATACTTTCCATATTGTACCACTTGTATGTAAATTTCATGACTTCATCTTTTCTAAGAGCTACATAGTACTCCATTGTGTAGATGTACCAAAGTTTCTTTAACCAGTCATCTGTTCTTGGGCATTCAGGTTTCTTCCAGTTTCTGGCTATTGTAAAGAGTGCTGCAATGAACAAACAAGTGCAGATGTCACTTCAACTATACATTTTTGCCTCTCTCGGATATATTCCCAGGAGTGGTATTGCTGGGTCAAATGGGAGCTCAATTTCTAATTTTTTGAGAATCGTCCATACTGTTTTCCAGAAGGGCTGAACCAGTGGACATTCCCACCAACAGTGAAGGAGTGTCCCTTTCTCGCCACATCCACGCCAGCATCGGTTGCTTTTGTTCTTTTGAATGTGGGTCAGTCTCTGAGGTGTGAGATGGTATCTCATTGTGGTTTTGATCTGCATCTCCCTGATGATTAATGATGTAGAGCATTTTCTCATGTGCTTTTTTGCCATTCGGATTTCTTCTTTGAGAAAGTTTCTGTTCATTTCATTGCCCCATTTTTCGATGAGGTTGGATGTTTTCTTCTTGTGGAGTTTAACCAGTATTTTGTATATCCTGGATATCAACCCCTTGTCAGATGTGTATTCGGTGAATATCCTTTCCCATTCTGTAGACTGTCTTTGTATTTTGGTCACTGTTTCTTTGGAGGTGCAGAAGCTTCTTAGTTTAAGATAGTCCCATTTATCTATCTCTGTTTTCACTTGCTCGGCCAGTGGCGTGGCATCTTTGAAGATACCATTAGCTTCAATGTCATGGAGGGTTTTGCCAACTTTATCTTCAATGTACCTTATGGTTTCTGGTCTGATGTTGAGGTCTTTAATCCATTTTGATCTTATTTTTGTTCATGGTGTTAGGCAGAGTTCTGAGCCTATTTTTTTGCATGTAGCCGTCCAGTGATGCCAACACAATTTATTAAAGAGGCTTTCCTTACTCCACTTCACATTACTTGCACCTTTATCAAAGATTAGATGAGCATATGATTGAGGAGAGATGTCAGTGTATTCAACCCTGTTCCATTGGTCTGCAGTTCTGCCTTTGTTCCAGTACCATGCTGTTTTAATTATTACTGCTTTGTAGTACAGTTTGAAGTTCGGGAGGTTGATTCCTCCCATTTTCTTTTTCCCAAGAATTACTTTAGCTATTCGTGGGGGCTTATTGTTCCATATAAATTTCAAGAGTGTTTGCTCCATTTCTTTGAAGAATGTCATGGGTATCCTTATAGGGATTGCATTGAATTTATACAATGCTTTCGGTAGTATTGCCATTTTGACAATGTTAAGTCTCCCGACCCATGAGCAGGGGATATCTTTCCATTTCCTCATGTCCTCTTTTATTTCCTGAAGTAGCGTTTTGTAGTTTTCTTTGTACAGGTCCTTTACTTCCTTAGTTAAGCTGATTCCTAGGTACTTGATTTTCTGGGGCACAATTGTGAATGGGATTGTTTTTTTCATGTTGCTTTCTTCTCTCTCACTGTTTGCGTATAGGAAAGCCATGGACTTTTGGGTATTGATTTTATAACCTGCAACTTTACTATACGAGTCTATTGTTTCTAGGAGTTTTTTGGTGGAAGTTATTGGGTTCTCTAAGTAGAGTATCATATCATCTGCGAATAGTGAGAGCTTGATTTCTTCCTTTCCTACCTGAATGCCCTTAATATCTTTTTCCTGCCTAATCGCTATTGCAAGTACTTCCAGTACTATATTGAACAGCAGTGGAGAGAGTGGGCATCCCTGTCTCGTCCCTGATCTTAGAGGGAAGGCTCTCAGTTTTTCCCCATTGAGGATGATGCTTGCTGTAGGCTTGTGGTAGATGGCTTTAATTATGTTGAAGAAGGTCCCCTCTATACCCATTTTGGCTAGGGTTTTCATCATAAAGGGGTGCTGGATCTTATCAAATGCTTTCTCTGCATCTATTGATATGATCATATGCTTTTTATCTTTTCTTTTGTTGATATGGTGGATTATGTTGATTGATTTCCGAATGTTGAACCATCCTTGCATCCCTGGGATGAATCCTACTTGGTCATGGTGTATGATCTTTTTAATGAGTAGTTGGATTCTATTTGCTAGTAGTTTGTTGAGGATCTTTGCATCTGTGTTCATCAGGCATATCGGCCTGTAATTCTCTTTCTTTGTGGTATCTCTGTCTGCTTTTGGTATCAGTGTGATATTTGCTTCGTAGAAACTGTTTGGAAGTGTTTTTGATATTTCAATTTCGTGGAAAAGCTTAAAGAGCATTGGGAGTAAGTCCTCTTTAAAGATTTGGAAGAATTCACTAGTGAATCCATCCGGGCCAGGACTTTTGTGCTTGGGGAGACTTTTTATTACCATTTCAATTTCCTTGATGGTGATAGGTCTGTTCAGGTATTCCAGGTCTTCTTGGTTCAGCCTTGGGAGTCTGTAGGAGTCTAGGAATTTATCCATTTCCTCGAGGTTTTGATGTTCCGTGGCATAAAGCTTCTCAAAGTACTCCCTGAGGATCCTCTGAATTTCTGTGGTTTCTGTTGTAATGACCCCCTTTTCATTTCTGATTCGGTTTATTAGGGTTTTCTCTCTCCCTTTCTTTGTGAGTTTTGCTAGAGGCTTATCGATCTTGTTAATTTTCTCAAAGAACCAGCTCTTGGTTTCATTGATCTTTCGGATTGTTTTTTGGGTTTCCATCTCGTTAATCTCTGCTCTGAGTTTTATTATTTCCTTTCTCCTGTTCGGGTTGTGCTCCTTTTTTTGGTCCTTCTCCAAGCTCTTAAGCTGTGAGGTTAGGTTACTTATGTGTGCTCGCTCCTCCTTCCTGAGGAATGCTTGTAGAGCTATAAACTTTCCTCTTAACACAGCCTTTGCTGTGTCCCATAAGTTTTGGTAACTCGTGTTCTCATTTTCATTCGTTTCTAGGAATCTTTTGATTTCCTCTTTGATTTCCTGTCTAATCCACTCGTTGTTCAATAGTGCACTGTTTAATTTCCAGGTGTTTGATTTAGTTTTCTGTTTTTGTGTGTGATTTACTTCTAATAGGCTTTTTATTTTTATTATTATTTTTTTCTTTTTGGGTTATACCCAGCGATGCATAGGGGTTTCTCCTGGCTCTGCACTCAGGAGTTACTCCTGGCGGTGCTCGGGGGACCATGTGGAATGCTGGGAATTGAACCCGGGTTGGCCGTTTGCAAGGCAAATGCCCTACCTGCTGTACTATCACTCCAGCCCCAATTTTTATTCCCAAAGAACTTCCCTCAGGTGTGAAAGCATAATTAATATATTTTAAAAATTGTGTTCATTTTATTTATAAACAGCATATATTTTTGAATTCTTTTTGTTTGCTTGTTTTAGGCCATACTGGGCAGTTTGCAGAACTCCTGGCTCTGCACTTAGGAATTCCTCATGACAGGGCATGGGGGACCATATAGAATGCTGGGGACTGAATCTGGGTTGGCCACAGGCAAGGCAAATGCCTTATATGCTTATCTATCTTTCCAGCCCCACATCATTGTATACTTTGAAGATGTACAGCATCATAGAAACATTTACAACAACAGTGCATGGCATTTATAATTGCTCTGCATTCTTTTCAACACTTGGTATTGCCATTATTTTAAAATTACTTTGTGAGTGTGTGTATGTCTGTTTTTCTAATGCCTAGTGATATTGAGCATCTTATCATTTATTACAATTCTTTGGTGAAGTGTCCATTCAAATCTTTTATCCATTTTAAAGTCTGTCTCATGAGCAGAGGGGAGAAGGCAGCTGGAATAGAGAAGGGATCACTAAGAAAATGATGGCTGGAGGAATCAGTTGGGATGGGAGATGTGTGCAGAAAGTAGATAATGGACCAAATATGATGACCTCTCAGTGTCTGTTTTGCAAACCATAATGCCCAAAAGTAGAGAGAGAGTGTGGGGAATATTGTCTGCCATGGAGGCAGAGGGAGGTAGGGTATACTGGGGAGATTGGTGGTGGGGAATGTGCACTGGTGGAGGGATGGGTGTTTGATCATTGTGTGATTATAACCCAAACATGAAAGCTTGTAACTATCTCACAGTGATTCAATAAAATTTTAAAAAATATCTTTTATCCTTTTCAAAAGTCAGACTTTTGAGGACT